CCTCACGTGGTGGAAATAGCAGTGGGATATGAATACCCAGCTGTTTTCCTGAGGTGGGATCTCTGCACCCGCCACAGTCCTGACCTTTGACTTCTGATCCTAACCACTACACTTGACTGCCTATGCCTGGTACCCTACTTGTTTGTCCAGCCACCATTGCTGCTGCTTTATCTGGGCATGACACTAACATGGAACTCTCTCCAACACACCCATAGATGTAACAAACATTCCACTTTTGTATTCCACAGTCCATGTTCCCAGCTTTCGTATTCCAAAGTCAGTACTTCTGAGTTTTGTTTTCTAATATTCCAGCATTTGCATTTCTAAGGCCCCTAGCACACATTACATTTCTGGCATGATTAACATATTAATTGCAACATAAATAGCAACATGTCACACATTCACTGAATTTATAGTGCCATAAAGTGGCAAACCAGCCACAAAGATATACCTCAAAATGCATAGCATTTGTGACCTGGTTTATATGGCATCAAAAATTGAACATGTGACGGGTACTATTACCCTAGTGCCAACAATCAGCTGATTGTCAGCATTGGGGTCTGCCCATCCCCTGGCCTGGAGTCTGCCCGGAAGCTGCCCTGATCCCAGTTCTGACAAGCTGAATGGGGCATAACATTTCTCAGACCTCCAATCATGTGACTGCCTGAACCTCTGTCAGCAGCCTAAGTTTTGCAACCCAGTGTCCTATGTCCCTGTGTTTCCTATTCTGGTATTCCAGGGTCAAAGCTTCTGAGTTTTGTGTTACAGATTTCCCATCCAGAACATTATGCCAAGTCCAAATCGGAGTTCCGGAGTTCCAGAATGAGTGCCTTTCAAAGTAAACCTGGTCTAGATCTAACTTTAAGTTCTGGTTTGAGTTTGTGTGTCTCAAGTTTCTGAGTTTAGCCTGGTCCAACGTGCTCAGATGGTGCTCAGGACAGGAAAATGGATTGGTGTTACATAGCTCTTCAGACTAGCACAGCCAGTTTTCTTTACCTGGAGGCAATGAAGTAACCATTGAATGAGCTAGGTTCCATAATTGTGCCACCTGACCCCACCACAGCCCCAGCCAGTAAGTTGAACTGCCAATGCTCTAGTCCACTTGTACATTCTTTTTAAGTAATGCTAAACCAGAGATAGAATAAGGATCTGGATCTTAACATTCCTAGGTTCTCGCTCTATATATCCAAGATAAAGCTAACTGCTCTTCCAAACAGAAAGTGGTAATTAGAGGAGAAGGAAGATACAGGGAGCCACAGAACACTGAACTGAGAGACACCCACAAGAACAGCCCAGCCAAGACAGACGACAAGCACAAGAAATACCCAGGTAAGAGACAGGGGCCCGGATAGTCCTGGCATTGTGGGGCGGTGCATACACCCTCAGGAGGCCTTAAATGCCTCTACACTAATGCTCGTAGTATGGGAGGAATTTGCCCTTCTGCTAGCTAACACAAACCCAGACATAGTGGGGCTCACTGAAACTTGGTGGGATCCAACACATGACTGCGTGGTAAACATCAAGGGCTATAGGCTGTATACGTGGGCTAGAATGGGGAGGAAATGTGGGGGTGTGGCACTCTACGTCAAAGAGCAATACACATCCTCAGCAAACAGCACTGGGTCTGAGGTAGGGCAGACTGAGGTGCTCTGGGTCAGAAAACAAGGGGGTTGGGGGGAAAGGGACTTAACGGTGGGGGTCTACTACAGGCCACCCAAACAGGGGGAAGAGCTGGGCCTGGAATTCTCCAGTCAGCTCGCAGAGGCAGTTAAGTCAAGGGATGTGGTCATCATGGGTGGATTATTTTTGACCTGGAGTGATGTGGGCAGTGGAGTTCCCCAGGGCTCGGTCCTCGGGCCTGCACTGTTCAACATCTTCATCAGCGACTTGTACGAGGGGGTGAAAAGCACCTTGTTCAAATTCACGGATGACACTAAGATGTGGGGAGAAGTGGGCATGCTAGAAGAGAGGGACAGGCTACAATTAGATCTGGACAGGTTACAGAGGTGGGCAGATGAGAATAGGATGGGTTTCAACACTGACATGTGCACGATACTGCACCTAGGGAGGAAGAACCAGCAGCATACCTACAGGATGGGGAACTCCATTCTTGTCAGCACAGAGGCAGAAAAGGATCTTGAAGTCACTATTGACTCCAAGATGAACATGGGCCGGCAGTGTGGGGATGCAGTCAGGAAGGCTAACCGTACCTTGTCATGCATCATGAGCAGGTCCAAGGAGGTGATCCTCCCCCTCTCTGCAACATTGGTCAGGCCGCAGTTGGAGCACTGCATCCAGTTCTGGGTGCTGCACTTCAGGAGGGATGTGGACAGCATGGAGAGGATCCAGAGGAGAGCCACTCGCATGAGTGGGGACAGCAGGGTAGGCCCTATGAGGAGAGGCTATGGGACCTGAACCTGTTCAGCCTCCACAAGAGAAGGCTGAGAGGGGATCTCGTGGCCATCTGTAAACTTGCCAAGGGGGACCAGCAGGCAATGGGAGAGTCCCTGTTCCTCCAAGCACTACCGGGAGTAACAAGGAATAATGGCCATAAGTTGACTGAGAATAGATTCAGGCTAGATATCAGGAGGCGCTACTTCACAGTCAGGGCGGCTAGGAGCTGGAACCAACTTCCAAGGGAAGTGGTGCTCCCTCCTACCCTGGGGGTCTTCAAACAGAGGGTAGACAATCACCTAGCCGGGGTTGTTTGATCCCAGCATCCTTTCCTGCCCATGGCAGGGGGTTGGACTTGATGATCTGCTTAGGTCCCTTCTGACCCTACTAACTATGAAACTATGAATTAGCCATATTAGTGTGAAGTCTGCCCTCTTCCAACTAAAACCACCACTTCTACATATTTTTTATAGTTCTTCCATTATTTACCTTCACCCACTTAAACTTGTTCTCTTGTAAGGAAGTCACTTTGAGCATGTTCTGATGAGTGCACATATGTAGGGTTACGCATTTCCCGTGAGACAAATAGCAGCAACATATCTGTGACCCAGGTGGGGTTGAGGAGGCTGGGTCCAGCCTCAGGGGCCATCAATCTTACCTGGGATAGTGGGGGCCTCCAGGGGCCAGCAACCTTACCTGGGATAGTGGGGGCCTCCTGCTTGAAGCTGGCCAGACTCCCTCCCTGGTGGTGCATGCTGCTGCCACATTCACCATGCTGCTTCTTTTAGTAGTGGGTTTTTTTTTTGAGAGCAGGATCAAAAAATTAGCAGCAGGATGAACAGGTGCATATATGCTGTGTGCAGTTAGCAGTGCCTCAAACTGCTTTGAGGTGCCGCAAACCATATGTGCACACTCATCAGGACATGCCCTTTTGGTGTATCCACTATGGATTTTTGGTGCAATTCACTTCCAAGAGTTAATAAGATACCTAATTTAACAAATAGACAAACTGTATGCACTATATCAGGAGTCCACAACCCCCAGCATGGGTGCCAGAGCATGGGATGTGAAGGCATTTTGTTTGGCATGAGCACCCTGGAGCAGATGGCAGGGAAGGGGCTCGGGCTGTGCTTGCACAACGAGGATCAGGGTCCTCGTGGTTCCCGTGCCATCCCCCCATGGCATGCCAACATCTTCCAAAGTTGGGGTTGCAGGTATTTTTGGTGCTGTGACCAAAAATGCTACCAACCCCTGCACTATACCAATGTATATAATTAATTATCTAAATATACAGGAATTGCAAGTGGTAATAATATTTCAATGAAGGAGCTAGGTTCTCATTCTAAAATATGCAAGAGGTGAGGATTTCTTAAGGTGATATTTTATTGGACCAACTGCATAGTTAGGATATGGTTTGACAAGCTTTTGAACTCACATTCTGCTGAAGAATGTCATGCATTCAAAAGTATGTCTAACTCTATCCCCATTATTTGGTTTGTCCAATAAAAGGTACTGTCTTAAGAAATCCTTGCCCCTCACACAATTCCTGGACTATGACAGCTATAACATCACTAACACTACTATTCTAAAATATAACAGACTAGCAATCCAGATAGTGTCAGTTTTATTCCAATCCAGTTCAAAGCACAATACTTGATCTCATTTATGTCATGCCAATGGACTTATGAGGCTAAAGTAAAAAATGAGCATGGATCTTTTATAATATAATTATCTTAATCAAAACTTTCTACACTCATATATGTACACACTCCCTTTTGAGCTATTTTCATAAATGCATTTATGGGATGCATTAAGAAGTATTCTTTGATTCATTTTCACTATGAGATAAGGGACAAAACATTTTATCTAACATGCCCTCAAAAAGGAATTAATTTACAAGGAGAAAGTAGAGGTGGGATTTCAGGTCAGGTCTCCCGGTATCGGCATCCTCAACTGAGCTCTTTGCCACTTCAGATGAATTTCCTCAACCATAACAAAGAATTCCCTGCACATTTTACCTGCCAGCTGGAAGCTACATTTGCAAGAGTCCAGTCAATCTGCCATCAGTGCCTGAGAAACGTATACCTGGCCTCATGAGGCATAAAAAAACATAATATGCCTGTAAAACAAACTGTTTTCAGGCTTTCTGAAGAACACAACTCCATCTTATCTAAATATTTAAAACATTAAAAAAAATCCTTTGCAGATGCCTAATATTAAAGAATATTTTTCTCTCTGTGAGCACCTTATAAGGAAGAATTGCTTCTGCACATCTTCAAATAAATTCTTTTCCCTTCTTCTTTCAAACCTCTGCATGTTTTTACCTTTTGGGAGCAACCCTGTGGCCATGAGTTGAGCCCTGTCTCATGCAGCCTATCAAACTAGTCATCAGTACCACTTCTTCCATTATTCACATTCATAATATATCTCCTCTTGTTGGATAAGTTGTATAGAAACTCCCCGGGAATACTGAAGTGATATACAGCGTTATAAAAATATATGAAAGGGTGGTTGTTTTTAATAAATGCTTACAGCTTCTGATTCTGACTGCCCACACAGATTGCATGTCCTCCCACAGTGATGGAAATTAATAAAATGCAAAGTACCTGTGCAACTTGAGTGTCACAGTTCCATAAACAGTAGTAAAGCCCAGAAGACGAACCCATCTTAGGAGAATGCAACGAAATATGCTTGGCTCAAAATACAAAATGACAACCTATGGAACAGAGAGAGAAAGAAAGTGAGCTTCAGAACCAGCTTTAACAAGGAAGTATTTCTTGATTCAAATGCAAAAAATGGATTTGTTCAAAATCAGAGAAAGAATATTTTCCATCTTGCACTCCTGTATGTTGAGATTGTACAGCAAAGTGACAAGATAATCTTATCAAATAACGGCACAGCTCGGAGCACCAACTCCGCTCTAAAGAGAACTGGCAAAGGCCTTGTGACAGACTGTGAAGAGAAAGCATCTCTAACTGCAGCTTCTACTGACTCTTCTTAACCAAGAAAAAGTATGTAAAACAAGGAAAGAGAAGACTGTAGACAAGAAGCAGTTTAATGGACTGTCCTGATATACAGAACTGAGTATATTTCCACTGTTTGATCAATTATATTTACAGAGCTAGATTCAAAGGGATTTAGGCATCTAAAATCCCTTTCCTTTTGGAATCTGATCCACTACATTAACTTCATTATACTTCAAAGCCATTCTTTGTGATAAACATGGAAAAAGGTGAACATCTCATTTTTCCTCTTAAGCCCAACCTGTAGCACTGCTACACCCTGTCCTCAGGCTCAGGATCCTGGTGTCACATTTGTCTCCTCTCCCCTACACTCTTCCCTCACACACTGTAAGCTCTTACCAGACCTTACTCTGCTTTCTCCTACAAGACTTCCCCTCCAAACTAAATAGTATTCATCTTCATTTACTTCTGGGCTTCTTTTGTCTAAACTATAAGAAATTTCTTCCATTTAGCTTTCCTGAATATCAGCTCATCTCACCCTGGTTCACACAGAAAGCTGCTATTGCATTCCTTTTCCTCTTTCCCTAGTCTAGCTTCCTTGCTGATAACCTTTCAACTTCCTTATTAAGCTAAAGACTTTCTTCATTATTTTGAGACCACCAAACCACTTCTGCTGTTTAGCTACTCCCAAGCTTCCTTCTATGACACTTCCTTTTGTATCTTCCATCCACTTTTGTCTTTGAGTCATGCTGCATTTTATGCTTGGAATGTTCTCCCATGGCTAAGCCTTTCTCCTATCCCATACCTTGGAAACCTTCTTTTATAGTGCCACTTCTCCGTCACCCATAGAAGAGATGGGTAAATAAGACCTGTACCCCTATGAAACTGGGGTCTCAGTCTTTGGGCTGGTACCATGTGTATCTGAGTGTGAGAGGTAGAGGGGTGGAAGGTCAGTCTCAGCTCTGTCCCCCCTTGAACTCGCCTGCCACGACTTAGATAGAAAGAAGAAAAAAGAATGGGGTCCAGTGATGTTGTTTGAGCAAGGAATTACCAATGCCACCCAGGTGTTAAATTCTCACAAAGTTGTTTTATTGCCCAGCAGGGATCTTTTGAACAGCAATAGCCTCACTAATTATCTCATTAGTGAAGAAAGTCCAGGCTGCAGATAAGAAAACTTGGTGCCAGGTACTTCATTGATACATTGTAATTAAATACCGGTGCCACCACTAATTGCCTTGTTAGGGAGGCACGTTCCCCACATCTTTCTGTATGTGTTGTGCCGGGAGCAGCCCCAGCTGTTCCCTCATTGTCCGTCCCCACACCTACGGCACTGATGCAGTCCCAACAAGCTGTGAGGGATTAATACTTGTTTTCTCTGCCCATGTCTTGCCCTGGGACACTCCCTTCTCTCAGGAATCCATGCCGAGCCACGTCACAGAGTCTCAGCTCTTCTCCTGGACTCACCAAAGCAGCTGTAATTCACAGGTAAGCAACTAGCCTTGTGGCTGACCTGCCGCTGTCTGGAGTCCCTCAGTCTCGGTGTCCTCCTGGGTGCCAGGTCCAGTTGTTCTCTTCTCTGAGGTCTCAAATGCCCCGTGTTTGTTCTTCAGTGCCCGAAGGCAAAAGGTGTTTGTTCTGTCACCCTATTTATGCTGGCCATGGCAGACTAATCATCTCACCTCTCCCCTAATATGAACTCCCTCCATCTGACGGGGTACTTTCTCTGGTCAACCTAGACTGAAACCTCCCATAGTAGCAGGACTCCTGCCTGAGTCCCTGTTACACCGAGCTTCAAGGTTTGTGTGCAACCTTGCTTGTCGCTTGTCCTAGAACAGGACTAGGCAATGTTTTTTGGCCAGAATGCTGAAAAAACCACAATGTCTACCTTGGAAGGTGCCAGAGTGATGACATGCCAGAGCCCAGAGCAGCTGTTTGCAGCTGCTTAGAGGCCAGGCTGGCCTTGCGTGCCATGCTCAGCATGCATGCCAGGGGTTGCTGACCCTTGTCCTAGAAGCTCTTAGCATGTTGGGGCAGAAAACTTTTATAAACTGTAAGAAAATAAAATTGGAAACTAATTATGAGAAAGGCTGTGCCTTCCTCTGTGTTTGCACAATAACAACCACAAGGACAGGGTTCCATAAATATTAACAAATAACAAGTTACATAGATATACTTGGTTCAGAATTACTAAATAGTAATAGGTCACTCTCAGCATAGAGGAAAAAATGCACTGAAACATCTAGGACCATTTGCTACTCAGTCCAGTGTACAGCTGGTGCATTCTGGCAGTGACGGTATTATTGTGCCTACAGGCAGCCACATGATATTTTCTTAAGTAAATGCTTTTTTTTTTCTCTGAGAATTCTAGCTCAAGACATTGGCAGGAAGCCCAGAAATAAGTCCTTTGGGTAGCATAGATGAATTTAGGAACACTGGAAGTGAAGATGGCAGACGTGCCAATTTAGAGAGAAAGCAGGAAGAAGCTTCTGTTTCACTGATTTTTTTTTAGCAGAATCAAGAAAATAAAATCATATTTTTCTGAATCCAAACATAATGCAAATTTTCTTCTGCTTTTCTCACCATCAGTTGACCAAATATGTTTCAGGGAAGCAGTGATTCATGGACATTTGATAACAGTCACAGGGACAGAAGAGAGAAGCATGCAGCAGTATCTTATGATATTTTTATCAGTGACAATACAGCTCAGTAGAGTTCCTGCCAGTACCATTCAGCCCCACTACGAATAATGCCAGCAGGTGAAAAAAAGACTTTGTATAGTCCTTCTGCTCCTTAAAAATAATTCTTGTATGGGATGAGTAGGGATATGTTGAATCGTGATAAAAATGACACAGCACCAAACAGTGAAGACAAGTGGACCTTAAAATCTTTCTATAATTACCCAAACCAAGATTCACTCATCTCAAGAATGCATACTCTTGACCTAGGTTCAAATATCCCAGGAGTAATACTACTCACTGATAAAGTAGTGACACTCTTTATGTTCTCCATGCAAAACAGGAAAAAGGATAGCACTTTTTTTCTGGACTCCTCATTACCACCTTTGATAGCTACTTGAGGTGGTTGTGATTTTTTTTTGAGTGAACACTTCTTCATTTAAAAAGCCCAATTCATCAAAGACTAAACTCTTCATGACCAAGAATATGATGAATTCCCCATTTTATAAAAAATCTGAAAAGGGATCAGAATTGTCAAAACATCCTGTTTTGATATTTTCAAGACTGAAGAAAAAATTAGTTTCAAGTCGAATTGACTTTTGTTTCCAAATTTAAGTTACTCTGGATCAATCAATGGATCAATCAAATCGGCACCATTGTTCTTTACAGATTATGGTGTATGCATTGATGAGTTCTTTGATGGTTGCTGAGTCCAATGTGCCAGCTACAAAGTCCGGCTTTCAATAGCAGATACTAGAAATGCTGCAGATTTACAAAGGAAATGGCACGTCTACACATGCAATTAGCACATAGCAATAAATTCCAACACAGTTCATGCCTGACTTTATTGCTCCCGGGCATAGCATTTACATGTGTACTTGGGACTGCAGCACATTGAGCTGGGGCAAAGCAGGGAGTTAGCTTCTCAGCCCAGGGCTGCTTTGACCCAGCTCAAAATGCTGCAGAGGAACTCACTGGGTCACAAGGGTGCTCCAGGGTGGAGCTAGCTAGCAGGCATCCTCTGCACCATAGCACCCTTGTGCCCCAGCCAGCCTTGTCACCATCTACATGTGTTTCACTGCACATAAGTACTCTGCTGTAGGATAGTACTTGTGTTGGGCAGTATTATACTACAGCAGAGTTAATTAATTTACTGCAGACTAATAGAGCCTCACATGTAGACAGTGACACTTTACTGCAGAGCTAAGTAGTCAGCTCCACACTAAAGCGTTTTGTGTAGATGCACCCAACATTAGTAGCACTAGTCCTTATACTGAGAGCGGACAGAAGGAAAATACTGCCCTGATTCCAAGCTAGAAATGTTAAGAAGGAATCAAACATTGACATCTGATACTAAAGTTTCTTAGAACACTGAAATGTGCAGGACTGAAATCATTAAAGCCACAGAATTTTCTGACTAAGGGAAGAACAGCTTTCTCTGAGATGAAATCTAACACAGCAATTGCGTTGTCTTGAACCGACCTGTATGAGTAGCTCATGATAGGATGAACTACATCTTGAATAGCCTGTCTGCAGAGCTGTGGAAGACAACATCACTTAAAATAGATGTATGGCACAAGTTATTGTGTGATGCCAAAAGGTGAAGACTTTGCAGGTAGTGGGGCAGGTCCTACACGTTGATGAAAACTGCCCCAGGACCCCAGGTAAGGCAGCTGGGGCCAGCACAGTGCTGGCCCCAGCCTCTCCTACTGCCCCTGGGGTAACATGCTGTGCACCAATATGCACATGGAGTGGACATCCCCAGGGTACAAGTAGCTGCGGCACAAGGTGCGCCACATCTACTTGTCCCCAGGGAACCAACCATCTGTGCTTATATGGACACGGCCACTAAGTTTCCAACAAGATGAGTTGTAGAGATCAGACATGAAATGTAGAGATATGAAATGTAAATATTGTAGAGTTCAGGTATGAAATGTGCAAGGACTACTTGAAATGTCAAAAAGACCCACGGGGCAGAGAAAAGACAGAGCAGTGCATGCACAGGTAGTGCACCCTTGCAGCACAGAGAACACTGGACTGTGAGGTATATGGCACTGCCACAGTTTCAAGATTGGTAC